AAGCTTCTCTAGCTGCTGTTATCATTCATGGTGTTGGCGATCTGATTGTTGGACCACAAACTTTAAAACGTTTCTGGCAAGCTAATCCAATTGAGTTTTTTATCTTTTGGATCGGAGTTATTGTTACAATTTTTTCTACCATTGAAACCGGTATCTACATTACAATTATTTCTTCGGGTTCTCTACTATTGTTTCGTATTGCAAAAGCTCGTGGTGAATTTGTTGGTCGAGTTCAAATTCAACAAGTCAAATTAACAACCAATAGTTATGTTCATGTAACAAGTAGAAATATCTATGTGCCACTCAATCATTCTGATGGTTCGAATCCGACAATTATTCCAATATCACCCGGCGATGGCATATTTATTTATCGGTTAAATGAAAGCTTTTTGTATCCAAATGCCAATTATTATATGGAACATTTAGTTGAACATATTTTTCGCGAAACGAAACCAGGCAAAGTCAATCCGTATGGTTCACTAGGTGAACAGCCATGGAATTTGAGGACTAGTCGTCATCCAGAAAAAGATCTACAAACAGATGATCAACGTCCATACTTACATGCCTTAATTTTAGATTTTACTGGTGTTGCACATTTGGACATAACTGGTCTGGAAAATCTTGTTGATATCCGTCGACAATTAGATCGTTACGCAGATAAAACCATTAATTGGCATTTTGTTGGCTTATCGAATCCTTGGATGAAACGAGCTCTCATTTCGGCTGGATTTGGATCATCTGATCACGGTCATACAGTGTTTTCTGTAGCAAACGTCTATATCAATCTCGATCGTGGTGAAAACGGTGCAGATACTATTCTTGTGCCCATTCTTGATATCAATCGACCTCTCTTTCATACAGATCTCGATGAAGCGTATGAAGCAGCTATGGCTACATTAGTTCAACAAGAAACATTTTTCATTTCCCGTAATGATACAGCATAATTCAGATTTGTCTTCTTTTTCTTTGATTTCCTTATGAAGAGACTAGAAATGAAATCATTAGTATATGTAGTTATTTTTGTATCATTTAATAAATTTCTTCTCAATGCATTCCACGATTGCATTCGATGATTCTGATCCACTAGAACGACATGAAAACTTGTGGGTGTGTGGTGTCTGTCTTTGTCAATGGAGTGTGGGTACTGCTGTCGATATGGGGATGCGTAGGCATGTGCCAGGCTGAAACTCAAAACCAAATGGTTAGGTACTTTGAATTAGGTACTAAAAGCTATCGAATGATTCAAGTTTCAGTTTAGGTCTACCTCTGCTGATGTTATTTTTCTCCAGCGATTGACCAATTTCAATTAAAGTCAATTCTAATTCTTCACTAGACCGAATTTGGCTGAAATTGGAATTGACTTGAATTAGAATAGGTATCATTTCAGAAGAAACCAACATTAGCAGAAGTTAGACCTGAGCTGAAAATTTAATCATTAGAAAACTTTTAGAATTGTACTCAAAGCTAAGATGAAAGTCGAACTCATTTGACCACATTCACCAAACCAAAGCCCTCTGGGCACGATTGGTGTCTAGATGTGGGTCTGATGGATGTGGATGTAGGAATGAACGCGATTTGGCTTTCTCTCAAGACATATCCAGGCCCTCGTGATAATGGTTTGCTAGACACCGTACTCACGCTTTTTCACGTTTCATATATCATTAGGCTTCGACATATTAGTGTAATTTTGTTTCAGATTAATTCTTTGTCTTTGAAACTGAATCAAATTACAGAACTAACGAGGAAACTACCCCAACTGATTCCGAGTCTTCGGCTCCATCAGTTGATCATCGGTAAGTATCAGCGAGGCTAAGAAAAGGATGGGGTGTGGCTGTGGATGAATCAGGAAGAGAGAAGTCTCTCACTCATATTCACACTCACACACTCACACTTTAACTGATTGATGAACAGATCTTTTAGCTTCTTTTAAATATTTAATAATAGCTTTATCAGTATGTTTTACATCTTCTCCTTGAAAATCTTTAACTTCATCTAAAACGATGTCGAGCATCAATTGGACAAACAACAGTTTCTCTATCTTTATTAATAACATCATTTGCAAGACAAACATGATAATCATCTTCTCCACAATATGAAGCTTCATGAACAACATCTGTACCACTATCTTCTGTTACATAATCATCACATAATATATGAAATGCCGTTTTGACATATTTTATTACAAAATTACAAAAAAACTGTTACAAAAATCAAATAAGTCTTACATTAGCAAAATAAGGAAATAATGGTGTATAATGCATTTCTTTTAGATGAGATCCTTTGAACCTAACAAAAACAAATTTACTATTTAGAAAAAAATTAAAAATAGATTTTTATTTAGTTCACCTTTCTAATATTTAATAACTATCAGACTTTTATAAAGTTTGAATACTTGTCTTTCCATTCAGATAAAAACTGTATTCTTCGTTTTATCTAAATAATACAAAAAGAAGTTTCTTTTTTTGTAAAATTATGTAATATAAACAAATCAAGAATTTTGACACACTATAGTAGACGAAATTTATTGGACGATCTTTTAAATTATGCGGTTTCTTCTTCACAGTTGTTTAAAAGAACTGCAATCCTATAAACAGAAAGAGCATAACACAAGTTACGTTTTGATGACCAAAATTTTCTAAAAGCGAATTGTCTATGAAGTGAACTGCTGATTTTATGATGCACAGCTGACTACGTTTAATGTGGACTCTTTATCACTTTTATTCAGTGAGTATTTTTTCTTTCCAAATATCATATTCGATACAACATCTGACACCGCATAAGATAGCAGATTACTTAAAGTTTTCAAATAAACCCTTTTCAATTTTGAGAAGTCATTTTCAGAAAAATTTGTAGCTCCAAATGCTGTATCGAATATGATATTTTGAAAGAAAAAATGCTCACTGTATAAAAGTGATAAAGAGTCCATATTGAACGTAGTCAACTGTGATCATAACATAAGCATTTCACTTCATAGGCAATTTGCTTTTAGTATATTTTGGTCATCAAAACATAGCTCGTGTTACTCTCTTTTTGTTTGTGGGATTACAGTTCTTTTAAATAACTGTGAAAAAGAAACAACATAATTTAAAAGATCGTCCAATAAATTTCGTCCAATAAAAGGTGTCTATTTCAGATTGGTATATGTGCAGCTCCACTATGACTCCACATTTCGAGACGAAATTTTCTGTGAACATAGTATAAACATTTTTTGTAATTTTGACACAAACTGCATCTCAAAAGTCAACTTCACGAGAACGTTATACTTAGAACAAAATCAGCCCAAAAATTGTATACAGTATAGTAAGTTGTATTAGGATTAACAAAAAAGTGCAAGATTTGATGGTAATGCCCATGGCGTTGTTGTCCAAGCGACAAGTTTAACTTTTGGATCATCAACAAATGGAAATGATACCCAAACAGCTGGATCATCAATATCTGTATAATTTTGACCAGCTTCAAAATTTGATAGTGGAGTATAACAATCCAATCAATAAGGCATTACCATAATGAAGGTTCTTTTTTATGTTTAAATATTGAACAATTCTTTATCCATACTTTAAAACCTCGATAAATAAAACATTTTTCATATAGTTGTTTAAAAATAAAGCAAACTGATTCCATGAACCATGGATACATTATTTTATAATCTCGTCGAAAATCAATCCATCAAACCATACGATCAATAATATCCTTTTTTCAACTATTTTCATATCTTTTTTATTTGTAAAGTAATAAAAACTTCTTTTTGGCTTAGATAATGTATAATCATTTTACAGAATATAGTTGTGTAAGAAGAAAAAAATTGCTTAATCCGTTAACTGTTATTAACGTATATATATGCCAAAGCAATATTTATGAAAAAAATTAAGACTTCCACTCATTAACTCAGTTTTCTTTGCATGCGCTGTACCTAATCTAGCATCCAGTGCTGACTGGACCTTATCCTATCCCTTTTTC